GCATATTTGTCATCTGTTTAACTCCCCAGTTTATTAGGCCAGTCTGAGCAGGGTGTCTTTGCTCACATCCTGGAATGTGTATCCTAGTGAAAAGCCAAGCATTTCCTGGACTCTCATTTTTCCCCTCTTTTTTGACACTGGCATATTTCATGCTGTTTGTATAACAACTTGTTTTCCTTGTGTCAGTTTCCTATATAAAGTAGGAATTATATTATTGACTTGGCTATTAAGTAAAATAATTAAATTTAGGGTCTATTTAAAATAAAAGCATTAGTACTTTGCAACATTGTGATAACAGAAGATTGAAAACAACTTAAAAGGCCATCAATAAAGGAATGCAGCAATAAAAAAATTAGGGCATTCTCTGTTTACCAACATAGATCTCCAAATGATAAAAGATGATCCAATACAACCTGCATATTATGGTACTTTTTTTAAAGGAGAACAATAAGAATGATTTGTTTGTATATGCATAAAGAAATCCTGAAAGGAGATACAAGAAAGCAATAACAGTGATAACCTAATTGGGAAATAGTAGGACTAGAAACTGGGTGAATGGGAGATAAGAGCTGAGAGGGAGTTTTTTATAGCATACCTTTTTATATATTTGTATTTTTTAACTATATGTATATATTATATATTTACAAGATTAAAAACAAACTAGTACAACTAAAAATAATATTTGATTCTAGATTGGATCCTGAACAGGTTTTAAAAATCTATATATAAAAGCCTAAGTGACAGTCAACTGTCTGACCCATAGCTATGGTACACACTGACCACCAGGGGCAGATGCTCAGTGCGGGAACTGCTGAGCTGTGATGACTTGGTAGCTGTTCTCGGGTGACGCACCCCAGAACCAGGGAGGTGGGAGCCCAGTTCTGGATGCATCACTGGAACCGCCCTGTCGTAATCTGAGACCTTTTGGGGGATGTCATAGAGCTGGTTTCAGGCTGATCCCCACAGGCCAGGCTGAGGGACCACACCAGTGCACTAATCTGTGCACCAGGCCTTTGGTTTTTATATAAAAGACAATTAACAAAATTGGAATATGGAGTATAGATTAGATAAAATAACAATAGTTAAGTTTTTTAATTTAGCAACTATATCATGGTTATCTAAAAGAATATCCTTATTCTTAGGAAAATACACACTGAAATATTAGAAATCAAGAGTATAATATATGCAACTTATTACTCAAATGACTTGAAAAAAATAAATAATAATATATACATATATATATTGGAGGAACAATAAGAAAATGTGGGGAATTGCTAAAAACTGGCAAATTTCTATAAACGTTATGAAGTAGTTCTATGTATTTTTCTCAACACTTTTCTGATAGTTTATAATGATCTCCAAATAAAAGAATAATAGAAAACAAGCAAACAAAAACATTATTAGTATTCTGGAAATTACCTCAATGTAAGGAATGGCCAAGATGCAGGAGCCTCTTTAAAGAATCTTAAGAGTTCTGGTTTTACCCGGTCATGGTTTTCATGTTCTGGTGGAATTTTTGCCATAATTTTTCTGTCTTTTCCATGCCTGGTGGCAGTGGCAGAGGTGGTGACTGCAGTCTGCCTAAAGTTAAAAACACCTGCCTACCAGTCTCTTATCCTGCTATGTATCCTCTGCAATTATATCTTCCCTACAATTTAGAGGTGACATCAACAAAATAATAACAACACAAAGCATTGTAAAGTACCCTGAACTAAATTTCCTAAGGATATTAATTATCATGAGGTTGTGTGTCCTCAGTGCTAAAATATATAGTTAATTTAGGAGGGATAAGGCTACAGAAACATTCAATCTAGCTCTTTGGCACTAAGCAACTGAATTATTTATTTTTATTTAGATATTGTCATTTGTATGAACTAACACTCTCTACTATAACTGTCATAGCATTACAGATGTGTGAGGATGTTTTGATTCTAGCCATTAGAAGTATAGCTTATGTCATAGTCAAGTGTAAAGTAAATTATTTGTTTGTATAAACTGTCCGAAAAATATTTGAATTCTACTATTTTGTCTTTTAAATAAGCTAAATATAATTCAAACCATGAGGGTCTTATCTAATAAATGACATCAAACAAATCTGAATTGTTAATGTTTGTTTTCTATCTGATTAAGGAAGCTCATGATTCATTATGCCCAAACCTTTTTCTTCTCACTTTACAAAAAAGTTTGATTAGAATTGGAAAACAATGGCTCTGACTTACCTTAATCTCTTAAGTGAAGTGCTTCATCAGAACTGTCATTTTTCTATAATTTTGCTACTTGGTCCCACAGCTATTCCAGGCCCATTTGATACCTAAGAAACTAAGTCCTAATAAGAGACCTGGGCCTCATTGACCGACTAATGCAAAAAATCGGAATGTATCAAAAATATAATAGAATTTAAATATTATTGGACATTGGCCCGGCTGGCATGGCTCCGTGGTTGAGTATAACCAGTGAACGAGGAGGTCACGATCCATTTGCGGTCGGGGCACATGCCCACTTTGTGGCTTGATCCCCAGTGTGGAGCGTGTGGGAGGCAGACAATCAATGATTCTCTCTCATCATTGATGTTTCTGTCTCTCTTTCCCTCTCCCTTCCTCTCTGAAATCAATAGAAATATATTTTTTAAAGTATATTGAACATTTTAAATCCTTTTTTAACTATTTAGAACACATTTTAGGGTCTTGCAAATGTTCATGGTCATTATTTTGAAAGGAGTTCTCATAATATAGCTCCCTAGATACAGAATAATAGAGACTGGACTGTGTCTATACTGATTTAGGATATCTCTTTTATACTCTTGACATTCTTATATTAACTTGTATTAATAAAGGAAGAAAATAATCCTACCTTACGTTTCAGGAAATTGAACTTCTTATGGTGCGTGAAGGTAAAGCATATCAAAGATCTTCACATACATCCAGGAAAACCATGTAGTAAAACTGCACTCATTTAGAATTTTCAGTGGTTAAGACCAAGAAGTCATGATTCTAAAGAACAAAGTTCAAAATAATCTCTTTTGTGAATTAGGTTCTATTCAGAAGTAAGGATAAAGCAATAACTTTTTCAAACAAACAACTTGAGGAATTATATCTAATTGTGGCTCATTTACCATTTATATATAATTACTTTCAAATCTGTAATCCAGTAATTAATTCTTATATTACCTAAAATGTTTTATAGACATGTTATATTATTATGTAATATAACCCTATTATAAATGGTAATGGTGTTATTAACTTAGCTCATTTTACTTATTTAGTGCGTGTTTGTTCTTAGTTTATAGTTGTTAATTCCCTTTATAGTATGACTTGTACTTGGAAGTAATAAAACCAGATTTCTTTATAAATATTTATGGTACAGACCTTTTCCTAAATCAGATTGCAGCCCTTTCCTAATTATTTCCAATAAAGTCTGCTTACATCTTTTTTTCTCCCTATGTTACAGTATGTCTTGAATGCTCCCTAGAAATTTTAATCCTAGGTAACTAGGCCTTAACTTCCAATTAATCAAAGTCTTGTTAACTGCCATGTAGGTGCTGGTGTTACAGTGTGTGGAAAGTTACTCAGAGTTTAAGAAGGTGGTTTTGGTTGAAGTCTTCTTAGCACCTACAGCCGTGTGGTCAAAAGGGGTCACTAAGTGAATGAGCCCTTCTTGACTATCCGTCTTTCCAAGGGGAGCTGTTTTGCAGTTTCAAATCTCTTCTTATCTGTTGTTGAAAGTATTTTTTAGCTGCAGGTACCAGAAGGCAGACAGAACATAGTGTTTGTTTGGGATTTTAAGTTCTTTATTAAGACTTTAAGGTTCTCAAGATCTCCTTTTCCCTTCTCTCTTGATCTTAGGTGAGACTGAAGTTTACAAGGCTTTGACCACATTGTCCCCATAAGGGATGCAAATTTGTGATTTCAGAAGTTCCAGTCCCCAGTAAAGAACACTATACAATCTTTTGCAGATGTCTTCTTGGCCAGATTTCATCACAAATAACTTCATTCCATTACCATGTGCCAAGTTTAAAGTACTGTATTAGGTTCCTCTGTAGTCAAAACAACCAAGCCCTGGTCCAGACTGCTGTGAGACAAGAGCCCATTGTGTCCTGGTGGCTCAGTTGGTTGGATCATCGTCCTATACACCAAAATGGTTGTGGGTTCGATTTTGGTCAGGGTACATACCCATAGTCTAGGTTCGATCTCGTTAGGGCACATACAAGAGGCAACCGATTGATATTTCTCTCATATCAGTGTTTCTCTCTCCCTCTTTTTCTAAAACCAATAAACATATCCTTGGGTGAGGATTAAAAAGGAGGGGGGGGGGGGGCATTGAGTTATTCTGCCCATACATTCAGTGGCAGCTTTCCCTTTTGCTAGTTGACATGTAGTTTAAAGGAAATAGTGACTCCTTACTAAAGCATAACCAGGTTAGGTTATTGTAATAACCAGGTTAGGTTATTGTAATAAGCAAAAAAACAAAAAATAAAAGCAGCAATCCTTGACGTTGACATGAAGTATTGTAATAGAATAATAGTTATATTTTTATTGTGCCATTGTGATTTTCTGTAGAGAAACACCCAAGAGAAATCAATATTTCTATTTTTAAAATCTATAGCCCATTACCGTATCCAGGATTTCACTTCCCAGAATGCAGTCAAGTCTGAAGCTTTATTATTAGAGATCCATGACCTAGTCCTTATAAATACTTCCTTTAGCTTATCGTTTCTGTTCAGGTATTTGCACTGTCCATAAAGGTACTGTTACCATGTACAGTCGTTCCCCCAAAAATGAGCCATCTAGGTATAACTCTTAACAAAAATCCACCTAAAAATTACCCAAAAAGCCTTGCCTACACATGCCCCTGTACCTTGGTTCCTGAGCGCGCACAGACAGCCTGGAACTCTTGTCTCTTTGGAAGATGAATGATGAAGGAGCTTCGGCTCTAATGGGTGAGTTTGAATATTGAGTATCACAGAGAGAAGTCAGACTGCCTTTCTCTGGCTCTAATTGCAGAGAATGAAGTCACTGCTTTTGCTGTCTTGGATCAGGACCAGGAAGAAATCGTTGATACCAATGGAGCCGGAGATGCATTTGTTGGAGGTACCGACTCATTTATTTTATACTTCTAAGTTAAACATTTCCTTAACCCTTGTCTCTACCAGATAGCCAAGATTTATGTATTTAATAGCTTTTAATTTCTTCTTTTAAATAATTAACTCCTAACGTTCTTTCCATATGCTACTATCACGGTAAGTATTAAGAAGGTATTTTACTACAGGGGAAATACGTATTTTTGACTTAAAGATGACTTACTGTTGTGCTATCCCCTAGTCATTTTCACAAGATTAATTGTGTCTGTCAGAATATTGCACAAACAAGCTGCATCAAGTACAGTATGCAGTGTATTCATGGCCCTTTGGGCTTAAATGTTAATACATTGTTGTTCTTTAAAACAAATTGTGATAAATATTAAACAGTATGCTGCTAATAACTAAGGATTATATTATTGGTTAACATGTGTTTCTAACACAATAGTTGGATGTTTATTTTACTGGGAAGAGCTAAATTTTTGTCTGGTTCAGACTTAGCAAGAACTGGGACCATTGATAAGGACCATATTATTTTTTAAATGAGTATTCAAAAACAAGAACAAGTGGAGATTCTTGGCTTCATTATACTTAGATTGATCTAAAATCTGGTTCAAGGGTTCTTTTGATAAATCTAAACTCCTTCAAGTTAAGTGTAGTTAAGCTAACTTATGGTGTGTGTAAGGCTGTAAATTCTAGAATGATAGCCCACCAGAGTCCCTCCTGATCTGTTTATTTCTTATACCATCAAGCCTGACCGGGGGGAAGGGGGGAGGGCAAATGGAGCTGACCATTGTCCTTCTTTTCTTGGAAAATAATTTGAATCATGGTAAACATTTAAGATTGTGTAGTGGTTTTAACTTAGCATTGTTCAAAATACGTATATATTTTTTAATGGTCTTTTGTAGCACCATAAATTTTTCATATTTTCTTCTTTGAAACTGTTCATGCTTAATTGAGCTGTTAACCATTAGACTGGTCGCATGCCCCATGCTCTTTTCTTTGCTCTGAAAGGCTTCATCATTGATTAGAGTATTTTGCAGCTATATTTTTCTATTCCATACTGCTTCAGAGCTCTCACTCCATGGAGGCTAAAAATAGCCCATCCATAATTGGGCCAACTTCTGTAACACATTAAGGAAACACTATTGATTTCCTGGTTAGAAATTGCTTAAAACAGGAATCTTAGTACAGAAACTTTTAAACTTGTCTCCATGTAGCCTTTTTTAGTAAAATATTTAAAACTCTAAGTGTCCTATATTTTTATGGTTAGTAGGACATATGATGGTAACCTCATTAGCCACTGCCTCTGGCCCCGGAGCCCTCGGATGCCTGGCTCAGCAACACCAGATTCCCTTCCAGAGCCCTGGTTACCTGCAGTGCTTCCAGGATTGGGGACCAACAGGGGCTTTTTGGAGGAGAGAGGTCATTCTTAGGATACAGATATAGGAACAGCTAGCTCCCCGATTGTATGTGCTTAAGGTGATGCGTGGACTACCTCAGCAAAGCACTTGGATTCTTTGTTACGGGATTTCCAGCCTCTTTTTTTATTAATATCTTATTCTACTTCCCTAGCTTCATTATACAGTTACTGTCCCAGTACAGTGAGGTAAATAAAGAGGAGTGTGGAATTTTTTATAAAGGACCATATAGGAAAAATTTTAAGTTTTTCAAGCCATATACAGGCTCCTTTGCATAGTTTTCTTGATCTGTTTGCTTGATTGCTTATTTTCTGTTTTATTTTTACACTAAAATGTAAAAACCTTCCATAGCTGTACAAAAGCAGGCCACAGGCTGGATTTTGCCTTCAGTCTATAGTTTGCTAACCCCTTTTTAAAGACATGACAGCTTCCTCACTCTATTCACTTTCATCATACCCTGGATCCAAACACCGGGCCTCACTGCACATGGTTGAAATCTGTACAGACAAAGAAGGCGGCAAGCTGGAACTAGGCAGGACTCTGCTGCAGGTACCTCAGTTAGGGAGCCTTCTTTCTCACTTTACTCTGATCGGTTCCCATGATAAATGAGATCTTGGAAGACTGAGTCATGCAATGAGATAAATATGTTGTCATTTTAGGAATGGAATACTTACATAGAATGTGCTGAACATGTTGACATAAGTTAAACTGTATAGTAATAGCAATAGATAAATTTATATAGCATCTATGAGCCAATTGATACCTGAAGCACTTTACCTATATTAACTCATATAATGTTCATAAAAGCTCCTGGCAGCTCATTTTATTGATGAGAAAACTAGTTGAGACATACAGGGTTGAGGTAACTTGCCTAAAGTCTCAGAGCTTGAAAGTAGCAGAACCAGTGCTCTTACTCACTGCACTATACTACTTCTCTGAACTTTTAGGGAAATCTCATTAGACTGAGGACCACAGACCAGCCCTACTAACAAAAGCTGGTTTTGCCAGAGATAAACTTCCTCTCATCTGAATAGATGACTTCATTTATTGAACAGGAACTTTTTTTTTTCTTTTTCTTTTTTTTAATATATTGATTTTTTACAGAGAGGAAGGGAGAGAGATAGAGAGTTAGAAATATCAATGAGAGAGAATCATCGATCAGTTGCCTCTTGCACACCCCCTACTGGGAATATGCCTGCAACCAAGGTACATGCCCTTGACCGGAATCGAACCTGGGACACTTTAGTCTGCAGGCTGACGTTCTATCCACTGAGCCAAACCAGTTAGGGCAGGAGCTTTTGTTTTCTGGTAGAATTCTCAGGACTGTAGGGTAAGGTTGTTGCAAAAAAGAAAGAGAAAGGGTAGGGAATCGAAGGACTGTATTCCCTGGTGAGTTTGAACCAGGAGCTTTTGCTAAGCAGTAGAATTGATTGCACTACTGAGATCCAGAAAGCCAGATCATAAAGTTGCTTGATCAGCATGGAATCTGAATACAGGAAGTTATATGAATCATCTGTTTAGTAGCACCAGGCCAATGCATCCATCTTACAATAAAGGAGGTATTGTTAGTTTAAAATACAGAAAAATCCATTGGCTAAAAACCCCTACTCCCATCTCTACACCAAGGAACTCCTTTCTGCTAGGATTTGAAATAATCCAGCTGTGGAAGCATACTCCTATCTTGCAGATAAATGGAGAGGCAATTACAACTTTCACATTTACTGTGTAGTTCTTTTTTGTTTTGTTACCTGATTATTAATATACTAGAGGCCTGGTGCACGAAATTCATGCACAGGTACAGTCCCTAGGCCTGGCCAGCAATCAGGGCTGCTCAGGTTCCCTGCCTTCACCTTCCCTCACTACTTCAGCCCACCAGCACGACTGATCACCCATGTTCCGTGCTGCCCCCTGGTGGTCAGCACACGTCATAGCAAGTGATCAAACTCCTGGTCGAACCCCTGAGGGGACACTGCATATAAGCCTTTTATATAGATAGAATGTATCTTTTCTCAGAAAAGAGATCTATCTTTAGATAGTTAATATTTGCCTCCTATTTCAATTTTTGCTAGCTTAAGAGTGTTTTTTGTAACTTTTTAAAATATATTTTATTGATTTTTTTACAGAGAAGGAGAGAGAGGGATAGATAGTTAGAAACATCGATGAGAGAGAATCATCGATCAGCTGCCTCCTGCACACCCCCTATTGGGGATGCACCTGCAACCAGGGTACATGCTCTTGACCGGAGTCAAACCTGGGACCTTTCAGTCCTCAGGCCGACGCTCTATCCACTGAGCCAAACCGGTTTCGGCAGTCTTTTGTGACTTTGCACAACTATATATCAATCCCAAATTTAAGTTCTTGGATAAAGCATCACCTCACCTACCTTGTGCTAATTCCATATTTCAGTTCCAGAGTACCATGTATTCCTATTAGCCACATAAAATATATATGGCTACATCATATGTTTTCATGTATAATTTTAAAATGTACACCTCAATGTATATAAGTTGTATATAAGTTAAATTCATAGTTTCATCTCAAGGGTTTAGTGACAGTGACAAATCCCTCAGCCTCTACAAGCATACCTCCTTGTTCTATTTGGGGTTCTTAAGCACTCTGTCACATTTGTCCTAACGAGCCTTCATGGAACTACCCTTTTCACATTCTCCCTCAACAGCCAAAGTGCTACAGTGGAACCCTTGGAAATGGAGACGATTCTGTGATCTCTAAGTATGATTTGCTAATCTCCCAGGTCAGGAGGAAACTTCTTCTCGTTGTCCTGCTGCGTTTGGTCACGCGGGTCTGCCCTTTCATTGGGAACCCTCTCTGTCACTGCCACAGTAACAAATGGAAACCATCAGAACATTCTGTGACAGGCACTGTCATTGTTCCCGATGAAATCTCTTCCTCTGTGTCTTCCCAGTAAAGGGAACTGAGGGGGAAAATCATAAGTACCATGAAAGGAGGCCTAACAGTGTATTTCCAGGAGGCTGTCAATATGAGCCCATGTTAATCTAATATGATTTAGTCAAATATTTCATGGCAGTTGTAGGAATACGGTCTAGACCAGTGGCCGGCAAACTCATCAGTCAACAGAGCCAAATATCAACAGGACAACGATTGAAATTTCCTTTGAGAGCCACATTTTTTAAACTTAAACTTTTTCTTACGCCACTTCTTCAAAATAGACTCGCCCAGACCGTGGTATTTTGTGGAAGAGCCACACTCAAGGGGCCAAAGAGCCACATGTGGCTTGCGAGCCGCAGTTTGCTGACCAGGGGTCTAGACCTATAATTCATCTTTAGACTACAAATGAGTATGCCTTTGGCAGGCACAAAGATATAACTCTCAGACAAATGACTAGAGACCTTACCTAAGGACCAACATTCTTAGGATTAAAAAAGCTTCATTAGCCCCCCTAGGATTGCTCAGTGGTTGAGCATCAACCTACGAACCAGGAGGTCACGGTTCGATTTCCGGTCAGAACACATAGCCAGATTGCAGGCTCGATGCCCAGTACCAGGCATGCAGGAGGCAGCCGATCAATGATTCTCATCATTGGTGTTTCTGTGTCTCTCTCCTCTCCTTTCCT